GGGCGTGTGTGTGTGTGTGTGTGTGTGTGTGTGTGTGTGCGCCCAAGATCCCGAGAGGAGAATGGAGGAGAGGGGACTGCGGCATGGCCATCCCCCCTGGGGGGTGATTTCTCGCTTCTGTCTCTCTGTCTCTTTCTGTCTGTCTGGTGAGTGCACGCACCCTATAGCAAAAATCTTTAAAAAAAAAAAAGGAACTTTAAAAGGGAAAAGAGCTTTATTAAAGCCCCCAAGGCCTAAGTAATTAAATAAAAACAAAACAAACAAACAAAACCCCACATTTCTGGGAAGTATAGATTATTTTTTTCCAAACTTCTTTTCTAATGACTATATTTAACATACGGATCTGGGTAAACCTGTTAAATACTTCTTAGTCGTCCTCCCAGCCCACATATTTCCATGAAAGAACGTTCACGAGTTCCACAGAGAACAACACTTACACTGTGAGTGCTGAAGTTTAGCGTTCCAGATCTACTGAGAATGCGCATGCACTAGGTCTTTGGTAAAACTAGCATCTTTCCAAAGGTGACATGCAAGCAAGAACTACAAGACTACAAAATGAGTGTTAAATATACATTAGAAGAATTAGTGTTGTGGCACTCAGTTGGAAGAGAATGACTCAGATTAGATCTCTATTTGTTATGAAGTTAACATGAGTTAAATATAGAATGGAGAAAAGTAATGAGCTACTACTACATATATAAATATTAAAGGTGAAACAACCAAGACACAGGAAGTGAAAGGATACTTTTAAGCATCAGAGAAATATTTTCAAGATACTTGATTTTTTTCCTCTAAAGAGGATTATATTTAAAATAATAATTAAATTTGGTTACAAATTTTATACCGGGACAGCTCGTTGACCTACTGGTTAGTGGAGTTCGATCTCACATGGCTGACTATGGTTTGACTCATGGCCTTGGTGGTTTAAAAATCATGTGTGGGCACGTGTGCATGCATGTCCAAATCCCCAACAGAATAGAGAAATGGAGAAGGGACTGTGAAATGACCATGTCCCATTGGGGGGCTACTCTGTCTCTCCTTTCTCTCTGCCTTAAGCGAGTGCACGTGCCCTCTGACAATGATAGAAAATGATCCCATGAGTAATATTTATGTAACCAGATCCATTTTAGAACATATAATACTTCACATATGGTATCTATTTTGTTTCAGGAAACTGGGGCTAGGAATTCTGACTTCTACTTTGTCGATGGTTAAGCTTAGACCTAAGGATGTTGTGAAATCTATATTTATACTACATCTGAGTGGTTCTCTTGTCTGGTTCTGATGGTTGCTCAATTTTTTTTTTCTTCATTACATAATACATGCTCATTATAAAGAATTTAGAAGACAGAATCAGAAATAAATATAATTTCAGTATCACAATTCTGTGATAACCTTATATCCTTGTGATTTCTATTCTTTTAATTTTTTATATTTTTTTGATATAGGGTATGTGCACTCGCAGTGAGAGACAGAGGCAGAGAGAGAAGGAAAGTGAGAAATCACCTCTCAGGGAGGATGCTTCTGTCGCAATTCCTTCTCCTCCCATCTCTCAGGATCTTGGGCATACTCACACACAGGTCTGGCATGATATTCAAGCCATCGGGTCCAGATTTTGAACCGTGGGTAGGCCATGTGGGATTCAATGCCTTAACACTACACCACCTGCGGGTCTCTTTATTTATTTTCTTTTAAGTTACTACCAGGTAGTGCATCGCCAGAGACAGAGAAGGAGAGGGCGTAAACCTCCTGAAATTGGGCATGGTCACAGCACTTCCTTCTCCTTTTCTCCATCTTGACAGGATTTAGGAGTATGCGCACACACCTGCCTGGCATGTTTGTCAAGCCTCCAGGCTAGCATCTGAACAATGGCTAGCCACGTGGGATCTAGCTCCCTTAACCACGAGGCTAGGGTGCTGGCCTCCCTTGTGACTTGCTTTTTACGTGTATATATTTCCCCATCCTTATTATTGTATACACACACACATAAAATAGCTCTAATTTCTGTTTTTATAGATATGACATTGTATCATCTTTTGGATATAATTTTTTAAAGACTTTGAGACTGCCATTATTAATAACCAGGCTATATTTTATTTAGCTAAACTTTATATACTTAACTCAGTTCTAAATTTTTGTTCTTGGAAACAATGCAGTAATGGACATTGTGTTCACAAATCTTTCCCCAATACCTGATTACTCGCTCAGGTTAGATGCTTATAATAAGGGAATTATAGGGTAAATTCATCTAAGCATCTTCAGGCCTCTTAATAAATAGCACCATCCAGCTCTTAAGAAAGTTGCCCAGGGGGCTGGCAGGTGGCATGGTTGTTAAGGACACTGAACTCCCACATGGTTGACCACGGCTAGAGTCCCAGACTTGGCAGCTTGCTTTTTCCCTTGCCTCTCTCCTTCTCTCTCTCTTACTCTGTCTCTCTCTGGTCAAATTAAAATAAATAATAAAGTTAAATCAAGTAATTATTTAAAAAGAAAGAAAGAGAGAAAATTGTGCTGCCCAGGTTCCCACTGGAACATCAGATGTGCGTGCCTGCACTGAGACAAACCAGCACAAAAGCTCTAGACCAACTAGTCAGATTGCTTCTGCTTTGTGATGGAGGGAGAAATCAACTATTTCATACCATTTCACTATTAAAAAAAAAAGTATTAAAAGTTTAACCAATTTTGGGACCAGTAAATAGAGTAGCTGTTACATTGCTGGACTCCCACATGGCCGACCACAATTTAAGTCCCAGACCCGGTGGCTTGAAACTCACACTGGGCGCTTGAGCGTATGTGATCAAGATCCTGGGAGGAGAATGGAGGAGAAGGGATTGCAGTGGCCATGTCCCCCACCCAGGGGTGATTGCTCACTTTCCCTCTCTCTGTCTGGAAAACACATGGACCCTAAAACAAAACCTCTTAAAAAAGAAAAAAAGAAAAAGCTTTACAAATAAAATTTAAAACAAGAATAAACATAACCTCAAATAAAAGCTTTCCTGTGGAAGACTTCCGAGTTGCAAGCCACATGCAGCTCAAAACTAAGTTGTAATCAATGCCTTAATCATTTATACTTCGGGGCCAGCAGGTGGCGCGGTGGTTAAGGGCACTGGACTCCCACATGGCCGACCGCAGTTCAAGTCTCAGACCTGGTGTCTTGCTTTCTCACTTTCCTCCTCTTTCTCGCTTTGTCCCTCTCTGGCCTCATTTAAATAAATAAATAATAAAGTTAAATAAAATATTCTTAAAAAAGTAATTTACACTTCAATGTTCAATTCCCCAAAATACTTTAGTTGAGTGAGCTTTCTTTTGCACTGTTAAAACACACTGGTGAGCTTCATTTTGGAAAGATTAAAAGCTGTAGAGATGGCTGGCAGCGACAGCCGTATAACAATATGAACGCTCTTAGTACCACTGAACTATATTATTCGCAAATGGTAAAAAAGGCACATATTAGGTTATGCCTATTTTACCACAATTTAAGAAACTCAGAATATTGGTGAATACTATCAGGCAGAGTTCAAAGTTCCTGAAACTTTTTTATTCCCCATTGTTATAGTTCACTTGCCCATTTAGATACTATGGCCTTAATTAGCCATTTCAACAATCAAGATACAATTTTATTTACTAAAGGAATACAAGCTCTATATTTATTTCCAGGTTAAAAAAAAAAAAAGAACAAACCAAAAAACCTGGTTACTCTAACTTCTGTCTCCCGGTTCAAAGAGCTCGAGTGCTACAGTAAGAAACACAGAAGTATGGTTACCTTGTCCTTCTTTCCCATAGCCCAGGGCGGGAGGAATGATGAGCTTCCTCTTCTCTCCTACACACATTCCCTTCAAGCCTTGGTCCCAACCTTTGAGAGCCTCCAGGATGCCCAGGGTAAACCAAATGGGCTGTCCATTGTTATGTTTGTGACTACGACAGAAAGCAAACACATTAGAACTCTTTAGTACCTTCATTACTTGTTTATTTTTAATAATTCTATTCTCTTTTTTTTATATGAGAGAGAGATGAGTTTTTGTTTTGTTTTGCTTTGTTTTTGGAGAAGTTTTTGCTGTAGGCCACGTGCGCTTGCCAGAAAGACAGAGGGAGACAGAAAGAGAGAAAGCAAGAAGCCACCCTACCACAGCACAATCCCTTCTCCTCCATTCTCCTGTCCGGATCTTGGGCACGCACACGCGCCTGGTGTGAGTGTAAGCCACCAGTTCCAGGACTCGAATTGCAGTCGACTACATGGGAGTCCAGCGACATAGGCATTATGCTAACTGCTGGTCCCGAGAGAGATGAGTTTTTGACAGGGTCTCACCACATTGTCATCCTCCTGCCCAGCCTCCCACTCTTAGCTAGGGCCAGAGGCATGCACCACCATGCCCACCCTGTCTAGGCTGGGGCTGGAACTGAACACAGGCCTCCTATGTGGCCTCAGCAACCACACAGTGGTACCTTCCCGCTTGTGCCACTGTGGCTGGGTCAAATAAAACTTTATTTTCTGTTGTGGTTGCAGTGGTGCATTTTTTCCATCCATAAGTTTGTTAGTTTGGAAATAAATGAAAGGTTATTCTTTATTTGCATACACATGTCCTAAAGTCAACTTTAGAGTAATTCACTTCATTGTACATCTTTTAATCATTTTTTTTTTTTTTTTTTGAGATTTTTTTGTTTTAGGGAACAGTTTGCTATAGGGCACATGTGCTCACCAGAGCAACAGAGAGAGAGAAAGTGAAAAATCACCCTCTAGGAGGAATGGCCACCCCACAATCCCTTTTCCTCCATTCTCCTCTTAGGATTTTGGGCATGCATGCACAAGCGCTTGGTGTGATTTTCAATCTACTGGGTCCGGGTCTCAAACTTTGGTCAGCCAAGTGGAGTCCAGTGCCTTAACCACTATGCCATCTGCTGGCTCCCATTGCCCATCCTTCTTGATGCAAAGTCCACACATTTTACTCAGCTAGCCAAGGGCAGAGGGAATAAAAGGAACAACGGTTTCAGTATTTATAGTATATCAGGTATCACCCTAAAATTTTTGCCTCTTTAAACTCTAACAATGATCCTATGATGTAATTACCCTTGTTACCTCATTGTGCAGATGTGGAAGTGGGAGATAAGTATGCCGGTATTAGACTCAAATATGGCTAACTCCAAAGTTCGAGGTCTCAGCCACAGAATTATGCTGTCCCAGGAAGGCCACTAGGTTGTAGAAAGGAAGAAATAATGGCAATGGGCGGAGTTTGAGGAGTGTGAGACTACGAAGTCTTTACTGCCACCACATGTGGGCCGATACGCACGTGGACATGGAGTTGGGAGCACAGCGTCTTATCTCCTTGTCACAAGCTCTCCTGCTGATACTACTAGTGGGTGGAAAGGGCTGCTCTTCATCCCCAAGTCCCCACTCAGACTCTGGCCACTCTGTCTACTGTGGGGCTATGTAGGGAAGCCTGAGGAGTGGCCCTCAAAGACTGGGGAGGAAGGAATGGTTAAGATGTCCTGCCTTGGGACCAGCAGTTAGCGTAATGGCTGTGTCGCTGGACTCCCACATAGTCAACCGCGGTTCACGTCCCGGACCCTGTGGCTTAAACTCACGCCGGCGCGTGTGCGTGCATGTCCAAGATCCCGAGAGGAGAAGGGAGGAGAAGGGATTGTGGCGTGGCCATCCCCCCTGGGGGGTAATTTTTCGCTTTCGATCTCTGTTTCTGTCTGTCTGGCGAGTGCACGTGCCCTATAGCAAAAACCTCTCCAAAAAAAAAAAAAAGATGTCCTGCCTTATGAGCTAAGGAGAGGAGAGACAAGGAAAAGCAGCCTGCAGAGCTACTAGGGGGTTAAGAAGTGGGTAGTGTCGGGACCAGCAGTTAGCGTAATGGCTATGTCGCTGGACTCCCATGTAGTCAACCACGGTTTGAGTCCCAGACCCGGTGGCTTAAAACTCACGCCGGGCGCATATGCGTGCATGCCCCAGATCCCGAGAGGAGAATGGAGGAGAAGGGATTGTGGTGTGGCCATCCCCC